TTAGGAAACAAAACTTCCAGAACACGGCCACACAGCCCGGAAGACCCACACCAGCCAGTTTTTGCCATGTTCCCATGTTGTTCTGGTCGTGGAACTTATTATATAGACTCTAAAATTATACTAGGCTGGATGAAGTTTTGTAGTTTTTCATTGGTGTCCATGAATTTCTTGCAGCTATTCTATAAGTCAATACAGCTCTTCCTTCTAGTCATTTGTAAAGAACAATCCTTTTCATGAAATTGTTTGTCCGTCTTCTCAAATAAGTCATTGTTTTAGTAACTGTATATCAGTCAACTTCCACGTCTATAATTATTTCAGTTCACAACATAATTTTAGAGATCATAACTAAATACACTGATTGATAATCCAATCAGCAGTGTTTTATATTTTGCTTAAGGAAAAGTTAATCATATGCTAGTTGAGAAACATTTTGACTGATAAATGCTCATTTTTGAAACTATGGCTTCATCTAAATTGCAACTTTTAAAATGAGAACAATTTTTGATAGCAAAAACAATAGACATTTTCAGTTCATCTGGATTAACTTTTTTAGAAAATAAATATATTTTGCTAAACATGACTTTCTCAAGTCAAAATTGGCATACTTTTCACATATTAGTAACTATAAATATAAATAGCCATTACAGAATAAATCTATCAGAGTCAAGTCTATATTTATTTCAGTGTTTATTACATACAAATTCCATAGAAATGGTATTATACTGAATGAGTCTCTTGTGTCTTTTAATTACTTATTTCCATGTTCCCATCTCTCCCCTTTTGCCCAATCACATTTGATTGACTGAATTTGGTTTATTTCAGAAAATGCAACAGACCCTTCATTAAGGTGCTATCTGAAAGGATTTGCAAGATTAGAAAAACATTAGGATAGGTATAATTGTCACTACAATTTTAGAATGACTTACCAAAAGATTTGAGAAGTGATCTTTCATCAAACTTTGAAGTCCAGAAATAGAAAGCAGATTAGAGCTACCTTCTTTCAGAGCATATTGTGTGAAAAGCTTTAAAAGTTCTTCACTATTAAATGTTTCCATGTTTTAGTGTACTGCAAAACTGTAACAAAAAAACCTGAAGTTTAATAATTGTAGGTAAAGGATACATCAATTCCATTAGATTTCTGATATTTGTCTATTTATGTCAATAACAATTATAATGTAGGATTCATTTTAACTTTTTAGTTTCATTTGTGCAAAAATAATTACAAAACAGTTGAAAAACAGGTAAAAGAAACTTCTAATATGTGAAAGAATATTTTATTTTCTACAGAACTTTAGCACTTAATTCTTTAAGTAGTTTTGCTAGGAAAAATAAAAATACCTTTTTATGATCAGTTCATTCTAAAAGTTTACATTTCTAGAATACATGCAGACATTTGTAAACAGATATATAAATCATATTTACCAAATCACCAAATCCAGAAGCCTTCCAAATGCAAACTGAAAAGCTCTTTATTTAGGCACCTTTTATAGGTTTTACCTTCTCCTACTCCACCCTGATTTTGAAATTTGCTTTTTGCTAAAGCATCTTGCTGACAGGTATTAAACATGTTATTACTTAAACAATTACTTACAAATATAGACACTATTCATCCCACCCACATGTCTGGCTGAAGTATGTAATGTTTCAGAGGTAAATTTGGTAACAGCGTAGTTATAGTTAGATATTGCTGGATGGGACACTGTTACATTTTTTAAAGCTTCCCACACTTCATTAGATTTTCAAATTGTTTTGGTTTGGCTGTATATTAAAATTTCTACTTTATCCTTTACCTACTATTAAAATTATAGGAAAAAGATATATCAGTTTCTTTTGCCCCATTCATACCTGTAACTTGGCTCTCTCTCATATGGATATGAAATGCCAGACTTTTCTATATTACATAGTTTAATACATGAAGGTATCGTGAACTCCCATGTTCTTTGGAATTTTCTGAATGGGAGTAGCCTTATAAAGATTATAAAGATATCAGATAATAAGATGGTTCTTTCTTAGATGGATTGGCATGTAAACAATGAAAGGTTTCAAACAACTGTTCCTATTGTATAATTACATCTATTAAAAATAGCAAGGAAAAAGTTCCTAAGCGAATACTCTGTCATTAAAGAAAGCAATTCTTGTCATTACAGGCATTTCTAATGGAATTAGAAAGACATAATAGACCATTCTTTTGCTGACTAATTCATTTATAAAATGTTGGTCAGTCATTTATAAAATGTTAAGCTGATCTGTGTTATGGATCCCCAAATATATTTGGACTGATGGGCACATTAGAAACTTTAAAAGCTGCCAAGGGCACTCTTCACTGCCATAGGGAAGAGGCTGGCTCATTGACAAATAATTGCTGGGTTGGACTTGACAGGTCACAAAA